AATGCAGTCGGAGAAGAGCCCGAAGCCCCTCACCCACTCCCTCCGCCAGCCCATCCCTTCGCTTACGTACAGATGCAGGCGATCAAGCGTCGTCCCCGATCGTTCTCTCACCGTCCCCTTTACTATCTCTCTTTCTGCCAAATCCTGGAACGCCCGCCCTTCCCCGACACCTGGCACCCGTTCCCTCCATCTCTATTCCACCACTTTTACACCACTTGTCTTGTGTGCGAAGTTTTTCCCCACTCGACTACCCAGTCCCTCGTTCCCTTCTTCTGCCTCCATGTCCTTCTCTTCAGTATAGAATGACGAGACTTCAACAATATTGAAGTCCACTGTTTGATTACGGGGACAATCCTTGCCTGTGCGTAGTACGAGCAATTTCGTATCGACCTCTTGCGCACCCTGTGTACCCTCTACCCCGACTATCCTTCCTCCCTTCCACATCGCAATCGCTGATTCCCACGTCTCCATCGTGTGGTTGCGATACGCAACTATCCCTATCGGGGTGCGATCGCTGGATCTTTTCATCCCGCCGCTTCCTCAATCTCACCCTCCACCCCCGCCGCTTGTATTGAGAATACCTGCACCACCAAAATGACAATGACCATCACAAGAGCAGTAAGGGAAGAGATGAAAATCGGGCATCGACGGTAAACTTAATTTCGGTCGTCTTCTTTCTCCTTTCTTTCATTTCCTAAATCATCTTTTATTTCTTCTTTCTTATGTGCAAGGTCATAAGGTATGCAAGCAGGAGCTTGCATAAGATTGAAACCCCTTGGGCGTCACATATGACAAACTACTTTTTGAAATGCGCGACTTCCAGCACGGCGGTAATTCGGGGGTTGAATGAAAGGGGCCGGCCCAATTGCATGAATGCCCTCGCATTTTTGAAAGAGCTTGGTCCCATAACGGTTGGTAGTTGGGGCGCACCTTAGCAAGCGCGAAAAATAATTGTTGTCGTAGCTTATTTTCTTGTTCTGCTAAAAATGGGAAGGGAACTTGGGCGCCATCATCGCGCGGGAGACTTTGAAATTTTAAACTATGAGAATTAGGACTTTCAATTGGGTTAGGAATTAGGGGCATCGTAATTTGCCGTGGATTTTTGTTGCTGTAACTGCACAATGCTCCTTACTCGCGCGCACATTGTTGTGCCCCGTCCCCTGCACTATGATCCCGCCTCGCGTAAATTATAATCGTAATTGTAATCTCTTCTTGCTCCTTGGTGAATATGAGAGTAACTGTAATCCTTTCCCTCTTGGTTTCTTTCTGCGGGAAAACTTGCGCCTCGTTTCTGTCTATCTCACTGGCCGAAAAGGTGCATGACTGGATCGATGAGTGGAGAGTGTCTGGGTCCCCCACACCACGGCCCAGTCATGCACCCGTAGGCGCTCCCTTCTTCTTTCTTCTCTCCTACTTCAACATAATCTGAAACTATCTCGCACAAATACTGAATGCTATAAATTTCGCAAACGCGACTAATTCACTCTCTAATCTACACTCGGAAGTTAGCGAGGTCGAGAGGAGCAACTAAGGAGCAAAGACAGATCAGTGAGTAGGGAGTTGGGCGATCCGACGAGCTGGTGCTGGGTATGCGGGGTTGACGCGAAGGATTGTGGACGTGGGCGAACCTGGCTTGCATGCACGGACTAAGCGGGATGCCAACTTCGGGTTTTGGGGAGGTGCGTGACGACAGACTGCCCGCATCGTGGAAACAGAGAGAGAGAGAGAGAGAGAGAGAGAGAGAGAGAGAGAGAGAGAGAGAGAGAGAGAGAGAGAGAGAGAGAGAGAGAGAGAGANGAGAGAGAGAGAGAGAGAGAGAGAGAGAGAGAGAGAGAGAGAGAGAGAGAGAGAGAGAGAGAGAGAGAAAGGTGTTGAAGTGGTGTTATCTCCTTGCATCCTCCATATAATTTTAATTTTTGGTTTCGACCATCATCGTTTGTGGTGATCTCGGATTTTCTTTTCTTCGAATGATGTATGAATTGTCTTTTTCTCCCCCATGTTTTTCTCTTCGATACATGATGTATGACGTGCAAAAATTGATTGATTGCGTGATTGCCTTTAAGGTATGGATATTGTCAATCACTGAGTCAGGGGATTATGGTATGTATGGATTGGGCGTTCTGCTGATGTATGGGAAATTGCTCCTTCTCCTTCCTTTTGCGCACCCATACTTTTGTGTATGTCGCATGGATCGACTGTCTACTTTTTCCTTGCATTAAGTCCATATATGTCATCTTTTTGAATGAACTGGAAATATAATAGATGCATTCATAGCGGGTAGTCTTATAGTCCGATCGGAGACAAATCATGTGCACGCGCGTATACGAATGACCACGAAGAGGCAGTCATCACGTATACGCGTGTCAGCATGATGATCCTTCAACCCGATCGCACCTCGTACACACATAGATGCATGAATTGGGTCTTTCTCATGAGATATGGACATCGACATTCCATTTTGGGTCACTGAGTGTGACTGCTTGAGGGATCGTGAATACCGAAGGTACTGGGAAAATGAGCATCTCTTTCACCGATTGAACTTAAGGCTTCCGACCTATAAGAGCGACCGGCTGTATGCATGGCATTTTTAGTGGGTTATAGGACAAAATCCTTGAATCCCGGACTATCCAAACACAAGTAATCACCAGTACTACGTGGAGCTGAGATTCGTCGCCATCGAAACTAATTTCCCTACCACAACCTCACGGTCGACCCCTGGAATGCAATAGCCCTTCACGGGCCCCGTAGGTCGTGTTCCGAGTGCCAACAATATTTACGCCTACCGGGGCGCCGGATTCGTCCGACGAACCCGTTCCCAAGTTGAGCACAGGGAACACAGTCTCCAACTAAGACCATCCACGTCAGACTTTAAAGTCTGTGAAATCCGTAGGCGACATGTGGTGGAGCAGAGAGACACCTATTGCGTTCCTTTCGTATACAGAATACGAGTCCGCCCCAGGCAACGAGGCGAACGAAGCTAGCCGCCCGACCCTAGGAGGGGTGGAACAGGAAAACCTGGTCCCTAGCTGAGACACGTGCACTTCTGTCCTTCAAACTTGACACTGGAGATCTCAATTCCGCCCTGGGACTCCACCCCACTTTCCAAAAATCCTTGGCACACCCCCTTTTGCGCACTTTCGGGCCCGCTCGCACGCCGAAACAGGAAGTCGCGTTGGGCGTGAGGTTGGGCGTCACATATGGAGTTTTGAACCCACACGCTCAGACCACAATGTGCATTGACAACCGGTGCCCTAACCACTGAGCCACATGCCACTGAGTCCCCTAATTTTATGGAAAGGCTCATTAGAATTCTCCAGCTGGTTGGTGGGTCACCTACAACCGCTGCTGTAGCGTAGTTGACCATACATCGAGGCGATGGTGACAGATGGTAGGGCTAAGGTCCACCAGGCTGTCTGTTACTGGCGTTTGATGCTTGTTCAAGCTGCGATGGTGACAGTGACTTCATTCACCATAGATATATCGCGGTAGTAGGGCTGCGGTCAACCAGGCCGTCCGTTACCAGCAGTTGACACTTGTTCTGAGCTCATCCAAGCGCCGGCAGAAGCATCCCGGCAGTTCCCCCTACTGGTGATCATTGGGCCTATTCGCATTCGTTTATTTTTTTTTTCTTAAAGGTGAGCTATATTTTTCTCTCATCTATTTCATGCATCTATCTCATCCTCTCACTGGTCTATGTATAGTATGGGGGAACACCAACCAACCCAAATCTCTCCCCAGCCCACGGGGTAGGTTGGCACCACAGCTGTGGTGTGAGAGCAAGGCTGTAGGCATTGCTGATGGGGGAAATCGGCGGTGCTAGCGCCGAGCAATGGCCAGTCACTGCACCTCCCCCTTCCCCCCCGAACCCCACATGGCAGTGTCTAATGGCCAATATTGTCACTGCATAGCAGCCCACAACATCAGCGAAGGTCCTGCCAATGCTGGCTTGGGGGCCCAACGGGTTATCTCTAGCTGGTAGAACACCAAGCTTGAGGCCATGGGGATTGAGCCCACGACCTCCTGAACGCAACTTCTGTGCCTTACCAACTGAGCTAGGCCCGCAGGCCCTTCGGATTCGTTTCTGCGCGGCTAAGCTGAGATATACCTAGGGCCTCGCTCCACTACTACTACTGGTGATCATTGGGCCTATTCGCATTCGTTTCTGTGGGGCTGATCTAACGCATACCTAGGGCCTCATGCACAGAAGACACAAAATGTGCCTGTGCTTTCCATATTCCAGCTGAAGTTTTATTCTCATTTTGCACATTTGGTGAGCAGTTGAGCGAGGCCCACACCCTACGCCGGGGTTACGTCACTTCTCTCGACAACGGGCTGCGAGCCCGCGGCCACGCGGTATGTCAGTACCCCCTTGTCGGTACTATATCGGTACTATATCTGACGGGCGACGGTCCGGTAGTAGCAGCGTCGAGCCCGAGTCGTTGGACGAGGGTAGCTGGCCACGGCCGGTCGTTACGTGTTCTCCAAGGGGCATTCATCTCATACTGCGGACCAGCTACGGTGCAGCTAGAGGAACCATTGAGGTCCCGTGAGTGACAGATAACAGGTAAGACGCCGCGAGCGACGCGGGAGTATTGAATGGGCACGAGAAAAAGACGGGAGCGGAGGTGGTGAATGCGTCCTGCAGGGGGCTCATTCCTCGGTTGCTGTCGAGCGGCTATGGTGCACTTAGCGGGCCTATCGAGTTGGAGGCCCGTGACAACGAAGCGTAAAATACAGAAAGGTCCGAATCTTGAATGGGCACCAAAAAAAGCGTGGATGGGGCGAACGGACAAAAAAAGGCGGGGGACAAAAAAAGGTGGGCGTAACAGAACGGGCCTGATTACATTAGGACGGTCTTTTTCCGGGTGGGTGGGATCGGCAAGATCGTGATTCCACGGCGGAAAAATCGCTCTGAAAACGAACTGTCCGTCGGAGGTGACCTGGTAGGCCGGGTGCGCGCTTCGGTAGTAAAGCGGCCTGAGAGGCAGACCGGTATGACTCTTATGCCTTCCACCCTTATGTACCGTGCTGGTGCTGCTCGGGCTGCTCGTGCTCCGTCGCTGCGAGTGCCCACCCAGACAGAGTGCGATCCCTGACGACGTCCCGCACTCCCATTGCGCACATCACCTCCTCTGCGCAACCCTAACATCCCACACTCCCGCTCCGCACAGCATCCGCTTTCAGGGAATGGAGCAGCGACCGGGAAGAAGTTGAAGGAGAGGTTAGCTTCTTCCATCCCTCCCTTCCTCCCTCTGTCTCTCGACGTCCTTCTCTCACATCTTGGTCTCCTCCTTTCACAGCGTGCTTTGGTGCTAGCATCGCAGACCCATCCCTACTTTGCGTAGCTGTTCGCTTCCCTCCTCTCCTCTCCTCTATGTGTGCGCGTGTGCCCGCGCGCCCGACCTGCCTGCACATGTCCCCCGTATCTTGATTGACCTTGCTGATAGCTAATGGAGAAAGATTAGACCTCGGGTGAGACGATTGTAGACGCGCAATGTGGAAGGTAAAAGCCTGAAGGTCGAATGGAAGGTGAAAACGGCTCTCGGTTTGTGCCAATCCTGTGAGCTATGTTTGAGGCCCTTTAAGAACTCGTCCCGGCATGACAATGGACGGCGAATGACGAGGACACAGACAGGAGGGGGCGCGCAACAGTCCGGGGACCTTTGGAGTGGGTAAAAGTCTGAGAATTTCCAAAACCTCTTTTTGGACGAGTGTCTTTTTTGTTCTCTCGGTTTTGAAACTATTCAGAAGTCAAGATGGTTGGTTTCTCAACAAGTCCGTATGGGAATTTCTCATAAGCGTACGGAACTACACTGGTCCGACGCAGTCATTGTCATTCACCTTGTCGTTTTCTGTCTCCTCCTCCTCGTCTTGCTTCTTCTCGATTCTGTCGTAATGTCCGACACCTTGCATCGGACTGACGAGTCATGGAACTATCAGTACTACCTTCTAGGACCACTCTCGTTACTACCACCAGGAGCGCACTCCTTTTTCAGTTGGTGTTGCTGGATTGACGATTGCGCGGCCGCAGGCCTTCTTTTTTCTATCTCTCTCTCTCTGCTTGAAATGGCGCGGATTTCCATGATAACTTGTAATGTGGTTCAAGAAAATAATGAAATGGACAATTCATTCCTCTCCTGTATCCATTTTCCCTCCGCCTCGAAGTTCATTGCGATACCCTCCCTTGCTTGTTTATCATTATCATCGTCGTAATCAGTGTACTCACGCAGTCATCCTTGGCATACCAAGGAGACTGAACCGTTAACAAAGGAGAGACAGGAAGCCACAGCAGGACGAGGAAGAGGAGGAGGGGGAATGAGGAGGACGAGGACGGGGAAGGAGGAGGAAGAGGGGGAAGGAGGAGCAGGAGGACGGGGGACAAGGAGGAGGACGACGAGGAGCGAGGAGGAGTAAGGAGTAAGGAGGAAGAGGAGGGGAAAGAGGACAAGAAAGGGGACGAGTTCCTGATCTGCGATTCCCATGTAAATCTGTGGTGGTCCCCCCCCCCCTCTACGACAGATCGAGAGGTATTGGAGTTTGAACGTGTTCGTCAAAGTCGATGGGAAGAGAGCCGTCGCGCGTATTCTCATACATGCTTCTATTACCCTTGAACCATGTCGGGCAAAAGAAGGCCGGTGCTTGAACAACAGCACGTGGCACTCGCTGTAAGCCGGTGCTTGCACTTCACTTGGCCACTACTGCTCATTCATTAACTCTGGTCGTGCAGGTTTCCTAGCCGCTGCGGGGCAAAGTTAACGATTGTGTGTGGAGCTTCTATACCCTTGTTGAGCGACGTCGGGAAAAAGAAGGCCAGTGTTTGAACAGCGGCATGTGGCACTCGCCGTAAGCCGTGCAAGTTCACTTGGCCGCTACTACTCATTAGCTCTAGTGCTTCAGGTTTTCCACCCGCTGCGGGGAAAAGGATTGTGTGTGGTGACGATGGTTCCGATGGGACGATGGCTTCCAAGTGACCAAAACCAGTCCGCCCTTGGTGTGGACTTCCGTGATCTGCAGCCAGAAATCGAAATCGGAAAGTTCGTTGCTTTTGAAACTCTCTCTCTCTCTCTCTCTGTGACCTGTGTGTGTTTATGAGTTCGCGCCACTCACCTCCGTATTTCCTGAAAATCGATGGAGGATGAAAGCAGATGGGTTGGATTTCTGTGATCCACGGCCGCAAATGGGAAAGCTCATTGCTTGAAACCCTCTCTCCCACTTCTCCTCCCTTATTTCTCCCTCTCGCCCCCCCCATTCTCCCCCATTCTCCCCCTCTCTCTCTTTCTCCGCTGTGTTTGCGGATATCACTCGCACCCGCGCTGCCTGTAACTCGCCGAAATGGAGGCAGAGGGTTATGCATTCTGAGATCGACGGCCTTGAACAGGGAAGTTTGTTTGTTTGAAACTCTTCCTCTCTCTCTCTCTCTCCTCTGTGTATGTGTACGTGTACGTGTGCGCGTGCGTCCGTGTTGGCTGAAACTCAACGACCAGGAGGAGCATCAGATGGAGGAGATGATGAAGATGTGCTGAACAGGGGAAAAGTGCGGGGGAGCTTGGACTGCTTACGTTTTTGTAAAATTCCAAAACCTGCTAAAAGAACTTGTCAGCATTTTCGAAAACGCTCAGTAATTAAGAGTTCTTATCCCAGAAATTGTAATGGGTTATTTGTGAAATCATTTTGCAAGACGTGGAAGCTGAGCATGGGGAAGAAAACATCAGGCCAAGGTTTTTATCCCAAATATAGTGAAGTATTGGCGAAAATTCACCTAGACTTCGGAGGATGAACAGGAAGGAAGAGGAGCTGAGAAGAGAAAAGCTTTAAGGAAGGAAGATAGATGATGAAGCCTCGGCAAATTGTGATCAATAAATAAGAAAAGAAACCAAATCGCCGTAGCCTCCTCCTCATGCTCCTCCCCCTCCTCCCCTCCTTCCCAACGTCAGCGTCGTCACCTCCTCCATGTCATCATCGCTCCCAAGTCCACTCCTCTTCCTCGTCCCCATCGTTGTCGTTGTCCTCATCGTAGTGTGCATCAATCATCAGCGTTTTTTTTTTACCTTCTCATTATTACTCCGCTGCGCCGTCTCCCCTTTTCTTATCCTTGTTCTCCTCGTTCTGATGATCATGATGATGATGACGATGATTTTGGTGTGCACCCTTCCCGTTTGGTGACCATTTTCACCCCCTGTCTTTGACGACGATGTGGACTTCATTAGATGACGGCTTGCCTCTCTGTCGTCTTGACCCCTAATGTGGACTCGTATCCCCAGGGTTTGCTGGTTTGCCCCCCCACTATTATAGGCTACCCCCTGTTTGGGCTCGCACCCTCAACACTGGCTTCCCAAGGCCAAAACCCTCTCCTCCTTAATTTTGGCTCTCTCTTCCCCCCCAAATATTATTTTATCCCCCCTCTAATCTTGGCACTGCTGGCTTACAATCGCTACTGGCGGCTTACTGCCCTTCATCCCACTAAACACAGTAGGCGTGTTTTGGTATTGTCACCACCCCCCGCATCTCTCCTTCAGCACTCTTGCGGCATCATCATAATAGCCGTGCGACCAGATCCAGTCTGATACGTGTAACAAGTAAACGGGTGGGTATCACCATGAAATACCGTCAAGAATCAGGGCATACTCACACGGGGACCTATAATCCCAAAATCCCCCCAAAAAGAGGAAAAGGCCGGTCACATGGATCTACCAAATTCACAAATGTACTATTCCAGTGCCCATTTGTCAGCGTCCTGGGAAGCCGCGGGGCAAGGGATTTCGCGGTCACCTCTGGAGGTGACCGCTAGTTCCTTTTTTTTGTTCTTTGCATTTTCTTCAAAAATTGGCAAAAATTCGTTCACAAAAGTTCTTGCACAATTGGTGGATGGCACCGTGTGACCAGCGAAGTACCAAATCCCCATTTCTCGAGACGGCCGCGACCTTGTCCCATCTGAAATGGTACAGCAGTGTGATGTGAACCATACCCAAAACCTCAAATCGGCCCTTCCCAAATCCGCATATTTTGCGGCTTTGGGTTCGCCGTGTGAGTATGCCCTCAGTGGGAGCGACCATTTTCGATTTTCCCCCCGTTTGCTGGGATCCCCGTCGGCTGGAAAATAGACAGGCAGGTGAGTCTTGCCGTATGGTATTCCACGACGGCGTGGAGGCATCTCGAAGACGAAAGAACGCAGTGATGGACATGGTGAGTAATCATGTAGAATTCACGCTTTGCTCAGGCGTCGTTGGGGTGACATTCTTCATCCTCGGCGGTAGCTGGGTGATGCCCTGCCGTGCAATCGGATGCAGCTGTGATGGCGTTACTGGCCGTAGGATGCAGGTCTGGCCACTCACTGGAGTGAGCCCACCCTTGTCACCTTCAGCAGGCCCGTCCTTTGTCAGTTGGCTCTTGGGATTGATGATCTGACGCGGGCCTGAGTTCTCAGGAGACTGGAAACCAGAGCACTCGGTTGGTAGGGATGCTGTGGTTTGGTCCATTTACGAGCGTGCTTATTATTTCTAATAAGGAGCCTTTTCCACTGGACCCGTATAAGGGCCCGGTAGCCGTTTTAGGCTGGACATTTCATAGGCTCAGATCAATAGTTGAAGTAGATTAGCCGAAGCTGAGTTTCCGGCTCTGAAATGATTGTGTTCCTTGTTATGACAGCCCTGATGGCTGAAGCTAAGCTGAGTAATGCTCTCAGTATTCCGGGTAGAGCTGTGAGGGCCCTGGCCTCGGGCCTCGGCTGCTAGTATCGGTGGAGTTCAGAAAGGGGAAAGAAAAGAAACGGAAAACCCTCGAATTCCATGATTGCACATGTGAACGATGTTGAAAAAGCTGCAACAAGCCCACTTGTAGATACACACTTGAGAGACATCCCCCTTTCTTACAATTGTTTCCCTGCTGTTCTGCCTAGAGAAGTGGACTGTGCGGTTGAATTCGAATGACATTACCTGTCTGTAGCATGCACACGCCAATTTCGACCTGGTACAGAGCAGTGAATAATAGCCCACGTGCTCGTACTTCCACCCTTGAAATGCGTCGACTTGAGGTTGCAAAGTCTTACCTGGCGATACGAGTCTGGTGGGTTTCTTGTCTTGTCTTCGGGAGTGATGCCTTGTTTGTGCCCCACTGTGCTGTGTTCACGAAAAATCCTGGACGTGAGCGGGCCCCCACGGCAGATTCCCGGGACCCGGCAGATTCCCGATTGTTTTCTTTACCAACTGCGTGCGGTAAGGGTCT